CAATGCCTGCAGAAGGTAAGTCGTTTGGGAAGGCAGATGAGGATTGCAGCGGAAGAGCTGTTTTTGGAAGCTTTATAGCTTTCTTCAAAATGCAAAGGAGACGTGATCAGAAGACTTCGCTTGTAGCCATGAGCTCAGCCTTGCCAGGCAAACACCAGGACTGCTGAGAAGTGATGCAGCGCTATCAGACATTAGCAGAATACTTTTCTCCCATAGCCTAAGGACATGCTCCGACTCCCTGTTTACCACAACTGGTCTCTAGTGTTCCCTTAAGATCACAAGGAGGAAATTGTAGGACTACTTAAGAACTACCACAGAGAGAAAACTTCTGGAGGAGAGACCTGAACTCATGCACTTGGACGCAAATGGTCTTCTGCAGTTACTCCATAACCTTGCCCTGCTCAAAATGGCCAAGAGAATCAAACATTTAAGAAAAAAACCAACCCCAACCTCAAAACCTCCAAAGCTCTTCTCAAATATCCAGGGGCAAGTTCCCATGATCCCCAACAACTCCATTTTCTGAAAGCTTATGAGCCGTACTTCCCTATGGGCACAGACAGTATTGTGTGTGTGTGTTTCTGAAAGTGAAGCCAAACCAGAGCAAGGCACTAGCAGAGCCCTCCCCTTCGTATGTTAGTTCTTACCTCACATACAGCCCCTATCATTCCTAGTACACAAATGAAATCCCTCTCACCATAACAAGTATATATATTTTTATATATATTAAAAGCCCAAACCAAAACAAGGCCATCCACACACACCCTTGCAAACAAGGCCAGATGGGTTTAAGTCTACATTCTTACCCACAAAGTCTGTCCCATAAAACCATCACCTTGTTGAAATCTCAGCCTTCGCTTTCATTTTAATGATGGTCTGAGTGAAGCTGACTAGAGCCAGATGTGTTTTCCTTCAGAAATTGTACACGAAGGACTGTAGTATGACTGCAGCTGTATCAGAGCTTAATGAAAAAGTATTCCTAAGTTACCAGATCATAACCGCAAGCACTTAAGCATGCATCTGGAAGACAAGTTACTTACGTATAGAGCCGGCTCCATGCACTGCCCCCCTCCCCGCCCCCTTCCTCCTCCAAGTGGAATTTATGTTAAATCCCCTAGTTCAGGAAGGATTACTGGTTTCTCCGTCAGAGCTGCTTACTCAAGCCATAGAAGTGGCACAGCACCCTGTTAGACAGCATTACAGTACTGCTGAATGTGAACAGAGAAAGGGAATAGGCCTAAAGTTTGAGGGGGAGCAGTATTTATGTTCATTTGGAAGGGGTTACATTGGGTTTTTTTGGTAGCCATATCCAATCTACATAATTTGCTGAAGTTTTCTACTTTCACTAACTCCCTTACCTCAGCTACCAGTTCCTGGGTGCATTGGTTCCAGTGTCAGAAACAACACCCCAACTGCAGAGTTGTCACAGGGGAAGCACTTAAGGGCACCAGACACCATCTGCAGCTCACATTTCAGGACCAGACGGACTAACTAGACCAGATACAGGCTTTAGCAAGATCTGTAGTTATTTCTAGCTAGCCCAACTGAGCTTAGAGTTTATAAAAAGCAACCGAGAATAGCACTGGCTGGAGACAGGGAGAGCACTTCTTGCTTCCCTATTAGCCTTCAGGGCAGCCTTCAGCAGTGCCCTGGGCCATACTCCATCGTGTTTCGCTAGCAGAAAAACCCAGTCACCAAGTAACTAAGCCTCCAATTACCTTCACTTCTGACACACCTTAGGGTAAAGCACACCTCAGTAACCCAGCCTATCACCTTTCCAGTGCGGTAGTATCACGGCTACTTCCCACCACGAAGACACAGGAATATTATCTGTAGTCCAGCACTCACTGCAATTTAACTACTTTGCTACTAATATTGAAACTGAGCCAATTAAGCAGTTTTAAAACCCATCGCAGCTTTAATTTGCAAGACAGAAAGGAATGAGAGTGCAGATCTCTCACTGCAGCAGAGACTTCCAGTCCCGTAGTCCGCACTACCAAAACATCTGGTGAAGCTGAGGGGTTGTACCTCCCTTAGCACCTCTGCTCTTGCCCTGCCACCTCCTCACCGCTGCTGAAATTTGCTTGGGTCAAGAGCCTGCCAGTTTGGTCTCTCCCCATTCATGCTCATGCCAACAGGAGAACATTATTTTTGTACTTAGTCAACTTACACGGACTTCTAAAGCATCACTGTACAGAGGCTGCTCTATTTTCTAATGAAGTCTTTAAATTATATTTTTAATAAAGTGTTTTTAAACCTGTCTGGGAATTTCTCCTCTAAAACTGTTGCCTAGCCTAACACACAAGCAGTTGTTTGAGAGAGGACTTTCACGCAGGTGTTTCCAGCAGTAACAGTTGTTCATTCTGGAGACTCAATACGCCACTGGAGAAACTGAAGACCTGTGCAGAAGACTGCATATGCCACTTGTCTCTCACAGCTTGGGGTTGGCGCTTCCCTGTAGCCCTTCCAGAGGCTGGATGTTGCCAAAAGAAAATTGTGGTAACGTTAGACTGAAGAACAGGGGAAAGAGGTGAACCCCCCCAGTTCATGATCTGGAATGCTTTTTAACAGTACAGCTCCCTTTCAGATCAGCTGGAATCGGTCATAGCAACATGTCCTGTCCTCCGCACCCTGCATTGTGTCAGGCAGCTTACACTAAGACAGTATGTCTCTGCTCAGAAGCAGAGGAGGGAGGTGGTTGCATTCAAAGGGGTGGGACACGAGCAGGAAGAAGTCTTTTCTTGTAGCTGAAACATTCAGACAAGCTGAATGGCCTGCAGTGTACAATCAGGAGGTTTTACAGTATGAACCATTGACTGACATTTACCTATCGATACGCAGACAGCCTCAATGCAGTGTGAGTAGTGGAATGTGGTATCAAAGCAGGTGGCAGAAGTGCATGCCCTGTGTACAGATCCGTCCAAACGAGATGTAGATAATTACAGCACGCAGAAGCATCCATAGTTTTTTTTTAAAAATGTAGGATGTAAGTGCAAGCCTTAGCCCAGTTTAGTTTTAACAAATCAGCCCTCTGTAGTGATATGGCTAAAACAAACAAACAAATCCATTTCTGCAGAGTCAAGCATTCAAATGCATTTATAAGAATAGTTTTCAACAGAAGTATTTTTAGCCATGGCAAAATCTGAGTTTTCCAGAAGGGAAGTTTTGTAACATAGGTTATAAATAATAGGGGAGTTTTGTGACCAGCTAAAAGAAATTCAGGAACATAAGTAAGACTTCTGTACCACGAACTGTTTGAAGCAGCCCAGCAGCAGTTACTCAAACTTGTTTCAGAAAGCGTGTTTGTCCAACAGTCATTTCCCAGAAAACAGTTACCCTCCAGTTTCAGAGCACAAGCTTTTTCTGTTGTAGTTCAGACTAACTGTAGTGACTGTAAGGTTTCAATAAGCTTATTTTACTGTGTGATAATTTTGTTTATTTCTCAGATTGCACTTGGCCAAGAAAGAGCTCAGCTAGTCCTAAGTCCAAAGGGGCAGGTTATTTCCAACAAATAGCAGCTGATGCTGTTCCGTACACAACCTTGTATCAAAGCTTCCTAAAATGGCCTGCAAACTGGATTTAAACAGCAGCCTGCCACTGAGCGGCATCTATTGTGGAATTAGAAGTACAAAAGTCAAAGTCTCAGTTCAGCCATAAAAGGATACAGGTTTGGCCCCAAACCAATCTCATTCTTAAAGGAACACAATGACTCTAGGTTTTTTTACAATCATTGCCTTAGCTGCACCTAACACATCACCATCAGTAACAGCTCAGGAAAAAGGAGCGCAGAGTGCATCCCAGGCAACTTTTGGTAAAAGCCCCTCATTTAGTGGGAGTGATATAAGCAAATATATATGTCAAAGTCATGACCCTTTGATTTAAGCATGATCTAGCTATCATTTTATTCCTTGAAACTAGACTCTCCTCAATTCCAGAAACTACTGGGGAAGAGAGGGTGCCTGATGCCTAAAATTTCTGCCTTTCATTTTCTCTTCAATGCATTCTGTACGTTAAAGTTCTTACAAACTAACAGGAAGCTTCAACAAGTCAAATAGATGAGTTCAGTTACTGTTACTTGTGTTTCAAGGATTTCATAAACATCCCCAGAGCTTGACAACATCCTGGAACACTCGGTTTTGATCTTAGGCTAAGTTTATCTGATGTGATGTATTAGTCCATGCTGGTAGGTGAACACCAAAACCCCCTCGTGCATAGGTACAGACACTATTAGCTGTTCCATATCAGATATGGATTTCTGAGAAGTCATTAACTGTCTGATTAATGGTAACTTACCTTCAAATGAGTAGCTGCAGCGTGCCCTTCTTTAGAGGTTTCATTTCCTCAAAATCTGGTATTTCAGGCCTGCAGTATGATGTGGTAAAAAGCAAACTGGAAAAAAACCAAGCTTGTTTTGGATATTTAAGTTTTTTTTTTTACTCATAGCTTCATCAAAGGAGTGAACAAAAGAGAAAAATCTCTGGAGAGCTTCTTTCCTGCAGACTCTCACCATCCCTTTTGGCAGTAGCAACTGTGCAGGCAAGAAAAATGTGTGACTCCATATTTATTTATTTTAGTTGTGCTCAGAGTTTTACAGGTAGCATCTTCCCTTTAGACCTTCTCAACAGAAATATAAAAAAGTTTGAAGCCACTTCCCCATTTACCCACTCATCTCCAATAATCAACTGAAGTGAAAGGCAGAAACATCTTTTGTTAAAAGAAAGAGTGGTGAGTTTGTGAAGGCTTATCCCAGTCTAGAGCTGGGCTTCCTGCTATGGCACAGATCTATCAGTTTGTAACTTAGAAAACCCAGTCCCCAGAGTCCTGTAACTCCCATCTACTCAACAGGAAACAAATCTCTTCTCTAGCAGTGACAGGGACATTCCCGGTAGCTGACGCTGTGCAAGGGAAACACTTCCTGCAGCTTGGGTGAGCTGGACCTTCTTCAGAAACTCTGGGTACCCAATCTGTCTTCATGGGATGGAGAGGAGGCAGGGAACAAACTCTTCAAGGCAGAACAGACTCTTCAAGTAAGTACTGCACGTCCTGGTAGACATGCCTGTCTTAGCAGACTGCTGTGGCATGAGGCACTTCGGTCATGGCTGTAGAGAACTGTCCCAGCTCTGTCAATAGAACCACAGGTAAATTTGTTCTCTTTCCTGTGAGAAGTCCCTGAGTTGCAGACCTAAAGGATCTTCCCCCCAAACACACCTCAGTGTCACTAGATCACTGAAAAAAGGAGCCGATCCATGTCAGTAGCCTGCAGGGAAGCCACCTTTCCGGGAATCGGAGGCTGCAGCCCATCCTTCATCTGTTCTGAGAATGGCCTGCACAACCGCACCGCTGCTCACCCACGTGGTATCGTGTTTTCTCTTCTTTAGTTGTTCTTCTATACCCTGGAATGCAGAAGTGAGTGAGGACAACAGGAGAGAAACTGCACATGTGCCATAGTCTGTCACCTGCATCCTCCATGACTACCCAAGCATTCAGTGCCTGTATTTGGTAGGTCTCCTAAAACTCCATGCTGTTCCTCCTCTTGCCTTTGCTTTCTGGGATGCCCTGCTTTTGAAGAGGTGGAATTGAGATGTGGCATTTGTGGTGCTCAGTGTGGGCTATCAATACTATTCCTGGTCACAGAGCATTCTGCCTCAGATACTCATATACCAACAGCCAGAACTGATGGATCCTGTTTGGGAATGGGGGAAAACACAGGACTTAGAGAGAGCAGGGCATCCTCCCTGGTGCAGGCAGATATCTCAGCTGTTACCTTAATAAGAAGTTTATCTACGGAGGATCTTCTGTGTAGTTTGATGAAGAAAACTGCCTTATGAAAGAGCATTTTCCTTAATATAGAGACATGGGATAAGACATGTACAAAGACTGCATCGGTCTCAGGCCTCTGGGATGTACAATTCCTCAGGGTGAATGAAGCTGGCAGCTCAGGCGAGTGGTATGCAGGGCAAGGCAGATCCTGCCATCAGCTCTCAGACTGACAGTGCTGTACAGAGACCTTTACTGTGAAAATATTTTCAAGTTTGTTCTCGGGTCCTTCTGTGCATCCTCCCTTGCTAGCTCTGTACCAGTGTGTCAGGATTCATTGGGAGGTTGCACAATAGGTCAAGAGTTTCCTGAGGGTCACTGGATTTAGACTGCTGGATGGTTCGGGCCCTGATGTGGTTTGCTATTTTGCAAGTCCTTTGAGCCAAACAACATTGCAAGAAGATACATACCCTCAGTTTCAGATGTAGGTGATGCCTGAATGCACTAGGCCTTAAACCCATATAACTGAGACTAAAGGTACACTTTGAACAGCTTATTGTGATCCAGTACTCACGGTGCCAGCTTCAATACCGCTCACCTATGAACATTTGGCAAAGCTCCATGATTTTCCACAAGTACATGCCTTCCCAGCACTAGGAATCCAGCACCATACAAGAAGTTCATGCACACCCCAGACTCTAGCTAGACAAACCTCCTCTATTTGCTGCTCAAGCTCCGTGATATTGGGAAACAGCTGATCATGAATTCTGGGCTCTTCCACTGCTTTCTTCACATCATAACCAAACCAGAGGGAATTGATGATCACCTATGAGAAGCAAAAAGCCTTAACATTAGTTACTTGTCTTCAAAGAGGCCTGACCCTTGTAGCAACGTAGGCAGAGATGTCTGAAGGATGTTCACCAGAGCACATAAAGAGCGTAATTCCTGGTTCCTGCTGCTTTCAGCAGTCCCTCTCTTGGCTAAGCAAAACACAGGTACATTGCAGCAAGTCAGCTTGTATATGCTTAGGAGGATTCCCACACAAGAAGACTGAGTTACTAAAATTAACATAGTAAAAGGATCAGATCTTCAAGCTATTGTAGCTGGATTTATGCTGCTATGATTAAGCTCGTGCTAGCTTAGACACACAGCAGTCACCTCAGCAAACATACAGCTACAGCTTTCCACTACTGTACAATCAGTTTCTTTAAACCTGCCTCATCTCTACATGCTTAAATTGCAGGTTGGAGCTGCTGGCAAGTGAAAATAGCCTCAGGATCAAGGGCTTAGAAAGCTGCTTGTAGCAGTTTTTATGGAGACTTCTCTACCTCAGCCAGAAAGCAAGATCTAGCCTGGTACTCTGAACTGCTGTGTGTGCTGGCACAGGAGACAGCTTTCTCCTGCAATCACTTTTGGTCTAGCTGGGTCTTTGAGTGGCTGCCACAGCAGCTCATAGAGAGCCTGCCTGTCAGATGGCCTGACGCCATGCCTGGCCTAAGTTCTTATTTAGCTTCTCTGTGTGACTTTCATCCAAAGTTTAGGATGTTGGATGGGAATGGCTCTAAACTAGATAAGGAGACTAATTCATGGAGATCTAGAGAACAGAAGTCAAAGCTAAACTGAAGTCACAAATCTTCTGCAAGTGGTCAGAACAACTTGCCAAAGGAAAAGACCTGGAGTCACTGAAGGAAGTAATTTAATAAGAGACCCTTTGTAGCTCTGGCAGGAGTTGGCATTGGAGGTCTGGCCCTCAGAAGGCCAGGCAGGAACTGCCCTTTCAGGCCCCCGGCCCACAGCAGGGAGCCACAGCTATGGTCACGTCACAGGTGAAGACTTGAGCCCCTTACCCCAAACACTGCCTCTCCCCCACCTTGTTTTGCCTCAGCCTTGTCCCCCGTTTGCCCGTATCATCACATACCAGTGCTGTTGCTGTGGTTATTTTTGTTCCTCCAGAAGCACCAACCACCATCCTGACCTTTTTCATTTTATCCACCAAGATGGAAGGGCACATAGAGGACATCGGCTGTTTACCTGTTGGGGACACAGATGCAACAGAGGCTCAGCTTTCCACCTGCAGCTTACAAACTGCCAGCTCCTGCTCCATGCCTAAACCCAGAGCCTCAGTATCCACTTTCCTGACTCAGCTCACATGTCTTGTTCAGCCCTCAAGGATCCCACTATCCCCTGTACCCATCTCCTTGCTCCTGCAATGCAAAGCTTAACCCTGGTCCTTCACACAGAGGTGCCTTCCTCCACAGTCCTGTCCCAGCTAGGGCTGTCTGTGATACAGCTGCCTCCCGTACACCGTGGGACTTCCCTTCCTGTCTTTTCACTTCCCTGTCGGTCGCCAAAGCGTGGGGTAACAGGAGGGTAGCAGAATCCCAGCCTGCTTTAGCAGCAATGAGATGGGTCTGCAGGAAGCAGAGGTGGAGCTTGGGTTAGGTACGTGAACTGGATCTATCCAAAGCTGCCCTACAGCTCCCAAGGAAGCACAGGGAGAGGGCTGGACAGTGCCATCTAACACTCTGCAGTCACCTCCTGCTGCTGCCTCCCTCTTAAATCAGTTCAAAGAAATCTTTTGCAATCCCAAGTCATTTCATTTCACATGTACTGAGCTCCCTGGGAAAGGATTTCTGGTTGTTGGAAGGAGGCATACACAAGAGTTTTTCTTTAGACAGTCTCTCCTCCCTTCAGGGTGCACCAGGGGAGGCTGGTTATGTATTTTGACAGGGATGCCGAGTGACTCACTTTCATCCCTGTCCTCTGCAGAAAGCCCCAGATCTGTGCCTGATGGCAGACATGCTGCAGCCTACCTTGCAGACACCACAGAGTTAGTATGCAAGATATAGCCAAAAGACTGAGCCAGGAAGGTAGTTTACAGCTACCTGGTGCTATGAAATTTGCTGGAGAAGGAGGGATCCCAAATCCATTAATTATGTAAGGTGAGCTGAAGTCATCCATCTCATCATTAAATATGATTCCAGTCACGTTGGATCGTACATCAGAGCCAAAGCTAGACAAAACAAGTTGGCGCAGACATGTCAAAACCAGAGCAAATCCAGGAAGAGCTTCAGGTGAATTACTGCAATGTGAAACCTGGGATTTGATTGGAGTAAATCTCCACTCCCTCCTGTTGTAAAGGACAATCTGTCACCCCTTGGGGAAAGGAAGCAGTTGATACCGTGAGTACACAGCTACACAAAGAGGAAAGGCAGCCCAGAGGCCTGGTGTATAGCTCCCCTGCAAGGACCCCAAGGCGAAAAACAGCACAGCAGCTAAATATAACTAATTCCCCTTCCAGCTGGGCAGTACTGCACTCCGTTCAGAGGCAGCATAGCTCAAAGGCTGGCACATTTGGGAATGACTGGGGTTTTGCTTAGATGTGTCAAGCTGGAGACATTTTCTATGGACAAAAAGAACCTTCGCCCCCCAGCTTCAGGCCGTACGTGTGGAACACAGCTCTTCCTGACAGCACTCGGAGCCAAACGCTGCACTTCCAGGCCAGCTGTATTAGCTCAAATTCCTTCCAGATGCCTGGGAAATCAGAGCCGGCAGCGATACCACTGCTTATGAGAAGATCCAGATGCAGTGAATGTTTTCTTAGTGGGTGAACCCAACATGAGAGAGGACACATCTTGTCCTCTGACCCAACCACACAGGCCTCAGTGTTAAGAACTGACCTGCAAGCTCAGCAGGAGAAGCGCCCATCAACAGTGCTACCCATCACTACCCCACTAGAGAGATGACAGTTCGGTGATGTTTTATACCAACCACAGAACCACCACTAGGAAGATGGCAAAGGCCTACACGGAAGTAATGTCTGAGCTCATACTATTGGTTGATGGTGCTGGTGGCGGACACAGCACTGCCATCATCAGCCACAATGGAGAGGTGGGATGTACCGGCATTATCTCCAGTGTAATATACTGGCTCATAGTAGTCAACTGGATGGGAGGTGTTGTCTGTGATTTTCTTCCGGAGACTATCCGCAAAGAACTCGGACGTCACGTTTCTGATCGCCTGTCAGAGAAATCCAATGCAGTTACTCAGCAGATTAAGTTTAAGAGACATGTAGTTATGAGGCTGATATCCAATACTTCAGACCACAGAAGAGTGGCAAATCCCAGCAGTGAGGCTATAGTTTTCCAGCAGGGGCTTTCCTCCTTCTTGAAAGATGGACATTGTACCAAAAAGCATTTTAAGCAGTCACAGAAGCAGCTGTTACAATGCACCCCTTTGTGTAGGAAGTTAATCAGCATCCATTATTGTAGATCTATGGAAAGCTGTCCTCAACACTGCTGTAAGGTGTAGGCAAGCAGTGTTACACTTGCTTCAGAGATGAGAGGAGAGGGATCGGGTTGAGAGGACTAGATCAAGGCAAGCTCTGATCATTGCTCTGTAAGTTGCAAATTTGTGTCCATCAGGCTGGGCTGAGCTCAGATCCTGCTGCTTTTGGAGAGTCACAGAAGTAAAAGCACAAAGTGTGAAGTTGGGAAAAGCAGGGTTCCTGCCTCACCCCTTCCCATCCGTTGGTCCATTTACTATAGGCAGGACTGTGGTTAGAGAGCCACAAGGATGCTGGGAATGTCATCTAATGAATAAGGCTTCAAACACTATGAAAACAGGGAGGGTTAGCCCTAAATATACTCAAACGCTCCTGTTGAATTGAGGATTTTGCTTTTCCTTATAGCAGGAAGATTTCCTCCATTTATATCCCTCACAGCTCAGCCATGAGTCACATAGGACTTCACGTTCTGATTCAGAGATATTTCAGTGCCTGTCAATAGCAGGTGGCACAGAGCATCTCTGAAAAAGTTTAGTCACCCAAAAACTTTAAGCCACGTTCCAGTCAACCTTGGTGTTGCAGAAAGAAAAGGCTTTTGCCAGGTACCTCAGTGATGTTGACAATTTTTGGATCTCCCAGTAAAGTCCTCTTGGCGTAGGCAAAGCGAAAGGCCTCCACAATGCGGTGGTAAGTCAGACCTTTCTCCTCCATGGTTTTGATGCTGTCAGCAGAGAAATTATATCCTGGCAACAGAAGACAAACGATTGTGAACACAAAGGAAAGTACACGGTCAATGGACTGCTAATAAACCTGTGTCAAAGGGTATAATCTTGAAGCCCAGTCTCTACAGAGATGCAGTCACTGGACTGTCCTAATCTCCACATGGAGAACACGAGCTCTGGTAGTTTTGAGCACTGTGGGAGTCATCAGCAGGATTTGTACTTGCAGAGACGTTTTCCAAAGAAGCCTCAAGTACAAGTTAGTTTCCACCCATGCAGGTACCAGGGAAGTGCCCCAATCAGGAGCATATTTTTCCTCTCGCACCTATATTTCAAGTAGGAAGGCGACATCCCTGAGTTTACAGCAGAAGAGGAATATTTCCACATCTCTGATCCCTCCTGAGGTCTCAGACTTCTCACCTGCTGGAGGGCTATCAAGAGAGGCCCAGCTCCCAAAACAAAAAAGGCGTTGTCTTTGGAGCTCTCCCAGCTCCTGCTGCCTGTAAGGCACTGCTCAGTGGCACTCTCACCTTTCAGTATGTTGAAAATGAGGGCTAGCACTGGGCCGCTTAGGGGGGCATTAGGCGTGTAGAGGGTAAACTCCCCAAGTGTGATCTGTATGGGGTCTTCAATCACTGTTGCGTTGTAGTCCCGCAGATCATCCAATGTGACAATGCCCCCTGGAAAAGAGATGTGGGTTTATGTGATCTCTGGTGGGAAGAGGAGGTAATACTCCATCACTATGCATCACAGCAAGGACAGGAGGGAACACAGACAAATCCAAAAAGTTGCAAGGTAAAGAAAGCAAAGATGGGTGCACAGGAGATGAATTTATTCCTTGATAGATCTAGCTGAGGCTCACAGCCTAAGCTTGAAGTTGGGCTGATTTACGGCAGCCAAAAGTCTGGTGTTCCACCTTTTTTTTTTTTTTTTAAAAAAAGGACACAAGATCGATTCTCGCCCCCAACCCCCGAATGGGGGGGGGGTTCCCCCTTTTTTTTTTTTTTTTAAAAAAAGGACACCAGCAACGTCAGGTAACAAAACGTCATTAAGAGTCCTGTTTACAGAAGGATGATGCAGCTTTTGGGTGCAGATGCTTTGTGCTGCCCCACAAGCAGAATAATTTGTATGTTCCATTGCCTTTCTTATCAGAAGGGGGAAGACAGTAATTAACCATCACAAATAAAGCCAGTAAATATGAGGTTGACTGAAGCTAGCCAATGCTAGCTAGTAAGGATAGGATACTACCACCATCTAGCGGCATCGAGAGATTAAACAAGCTCAGAGCTTACAGGACCATGTATGTAATGTTTTAGGTAGAAACTTGTTGGATTCAGGCTCTGTAAAGAGCATGTATCTACTAAGCTATATCCAGAAATGCATAGACTTGCTAGACTATATGGTACAGAAATGCACAGTATATACTATCCATTTCTGACTGAGTTTCAAATGCATCCATTAAAGCGCTAATGGCTTCTCTTGGGTGTCCTGTTGCCACAGATCTCAGAGGCGGCATTTCAGGCGGCAGGCTTGACCCGCTTCCAAGGCTTCTGCAGGTCACCAGCTCCTCCCTGGATGCTGAGCCGCAGCAGTCAGGTCACTCATGCTGTTTTGGACAGATGTCCTGTTTCTCACCTACACTGCGGATGTCATCGATGATCTGTTTTGCCAGGCTTCCTGTGTAAAAGGCATCTGCTCCTTCACTGGCTATAGTCTCGTATGTGTTGGCTAGTTTAGGCATCTTGATGATATCGCCCTCATGCAGAATTTTCCCTCCTCTGCAGAACACTTCGCTAACAGAGAAAGGAGATTGAGAAGATCAGATCTGAGAGACAAGTTCAAAACTATGTGTACCTGTACCAGCTGACACAGTATTTGAGTGTTCATGCTAGAGGCTTCTTGGAGAGAAGAGAAACTGCCTGAGCCATGCCCCAGGGGTCCTGATATCTTGCACTGGGACATAAAAGTGAACAGTGGTTTCTGACCTGGGATTCCACATTGCTCAGAATTTGCTCAGTGAAGCCTGCAGGAGGGAATGTCGATCTTTTTCACCAAGGCAGGCCGCCCTCCCTACCTGCCCAAGGGGCCAACAACTGCCTCAAGATGCCCAGGAGGGGCCATAGTCCTTGAACTCAAGCAGTTCTGTTCAGAGCACAGACTATGAAGCTATGAGGCTCAAAGCTTCCAGTGAGTCCAGGAGAATGCGTTTCGATCCCTGTTTGTCAGAGCACTTTGAGGTAGACAGTTTCCACTCTAGCTCCCTCATCATGGATCATGAATGTGCTGCTGTGGACCCGCCAGATGGAAGTACAGGAGATAGGCCCAGGCTGTACATCCCAATTGGATTGGAAACCAACCTGCAGCTAGCAGAGATTTTAAGGAAAAGAGAGGATTAAGCATGATCTCCAGTAGGGCTGGACATAGACACCAAGGGTTTGACTGTAAGAGGAAGTAGAGGAGCATTTAAAACCCTTCGTGTTCACAGTCATTGCTGGAAGTGGATGGTCAGAGGCATTGCTCGAGGAAGGCTGACTGCAGAGTAAGAGATGACCCAAATTCTCACTGCCTGACAGCAGATGAGATGTTCAAGGAGACTCTGCAATTGCCCCAAATGCAGGTAAGATTAGTTTAGTGCACTTACAGCATGAGGAAAAGCTGGGGATTCAGAAAATACATTGCCATCTGACAGATTTATCCCAGCATGTACTCTAATTCCACCTTTGCTCAGACAAATGGACTTTAAGAGCAGAATTTATCTCCCTTTAAAGGTCAGGACTGAACATTCCTAAAATTGGCCACATGATTTAGCACCTTCAGGTAGCTGGAATAACAGCAGCAGGTACAGTGAGTACAGTCACTGGAGGGGAGGCACACTCCTCACAGACAATACATTACACGAACACAGAGACTTTTCAGCTAGGATGCAGTTACCCCAAATTTCTCTGCACAGAACAGCAACTGCTCTACCTACCACAGTGAGGGATTGCTTTCAATTGACTCCTCTCTTGATTTGATGGCTGCTGCAAGGCCTTTCCCAACAGGGAATCCTTCTCTTGCCAACTTAATGCTGGGCAGAAACAGGTCTTTCCAGGCCAGTTTGCCATGACGTTTGTGAGCCAGTTCATACCCACGGATTTCTCCTGGAACAGCGATGGACAGTCCTCCTGGAGCAGATAAGGAATGTATTAGTCTTCCACAGCAAGAAGAGAAAGCTATTAATGGAGTAGGAGGTATAGCAGGCTTCTCTGCCAGCCCTGTTTTTAGGCAGGGATTACATATACTATGACCAGCTCAGCTTATGCATACGATGCTAACAGAATTATTCTGTCTGACATTTATGCCTACATATTCTGGACTGTTGAAACAACTTTATCTTGCTGGTAACTCAAGTTTTTGGGTCATTTCCCCTCAGTAGGCTCTGTAGCAGAGAAAAGCTGCTCAGAACACAGAAGCTATCATAGCTGCCTGCAGTTTCCAATCCTTCAGAGGAGAACACACTACAGTAAGAGGACACAGGCTGTGTACATAAGCCAAAAACTTTGTTGCAGCATTGTAACTCAATTGCAATAGATTGATTACTACATTGCACAGTGATGCAGCAGTTTGCTTCAATCCTGTTTTTATTGGCATCTCCCAGAAGTTCAACACACTTCTCAAACCCCCTCCAACGTGCTGTTCCTCCTTGGTTACAGGAGTGACCATGAAGAGAACTAGTTAGTATTTCTTTCTATTTTTGATTAGAAAATACTTCCTTGAAATTACTACTTCTCTGGAGCCCCTGAACCATTAGTTGAAGCCACCACAAAAAGTATTTAGGGAGGACACTTGAACTGACAAGAACTAAGTTGATCCACAAAGATTTATTCAAAGAGGTGGAAAGGAAAGATGGCAGATATGGAACAGGTCATACTCAGGGCTTTGGATTCACCTGCATTTTCATGAAGTGAAAAGCAGAAAGTGCTGAGGTGACCGACTAGTTTGAAGGACATCATTTTTAGCTTCCTTGTCAGGACAGAGTTTGCAGATTGTGTAAAGTAGAGGACATTTCTAGGTGAGAAATCCTGTAGATATGCACAAACCTAACCATAAGAAATGTTCTTAATTCAGAAATGTCAGTAGCAGCTAATGTTGGAGCTATGCGGTCCCCCCAGAGCAGTGAAACAGCCTTTGCCATACCTTTCAGAGAGCGCTGTGTGTCGTTCCCAAACATGTCCTCCGATGCTCTTTTTGGAGCCACCTCTCTTGCATTAATGATTTCCACTTTTCCTTTAACGACAGAGCAAGGAAGATGATGTTGAGTCCAGAGCTAAACACACAGGCATGGTCTCTGCTGAAGAAGTCTGATCAATGTGAGCCAGTTTCTTGGCAATTATTTTGAGGACAGCATGTTCCCCCAGAGGTTGTGAGAGAGTCTTTTACCTTCACTCAGGTAGGATAAATCACCTGCTTTAGATAAACAGTTCTCCAACTGTTCCAGATGTGTATGGCCCTGTCCCTTACCTGTGCTGCTGTAGATGGTAAAGAAGAGGCCCCCTCCAATGCCCATGCTGTGAGCATTCATGAGTCCTACACAAAGCAGAGCTGCAATCGCAGCATCCACTGCTGATCCACCTTGCTGAAGGATGTTCCTGTGCAGCAGAAGAGAAGGCATCGTATGGTGACATGTTACAGTGTCTCAGCTACCTGTGAGCAGTGGAGTCATCTCGTCAGAGCAGCTATGACAGATTCTCTAATGCACATTTGTCCACACCCAGTCTATAGGTTCCTCAGGAATAGGAAGTTTTGAACTTCTGTCACCTTAGAGAATACATCCTAATGGTCTAGGTGCAGACCAGATCAGCCCTCATTAGAGACACATCCAAACTAGCTTGAGAACACCAAGATGTGTCAAAGTATGTTTGGGGACAGGCATCCCAGACATGTTTATTACACATGAGAAATGACAACTCTCTGAGAAAAGCCTGAAATGCAGCACTTGCATCTAGAACTGGAGGACAGCTTGATAAATGGTTTTTAAAAGGAGCTTGAAAAGCATCTCTCTCTGCCTGCTATGTTGTCTTTGAGAAATTGCAGTAACATTGGTCAGGCATGGTAAAAGCCCAGGTTTTATTATGGCCTTCTCTTTCTACAGGGAGATTAGAGATTATCTGTGCTGGGCAACTGCACCTGGACATCGAGGAAACAACAGTTTTGTCTTGCGCAAGAGCTGTCAGAGCTAACAAGAGTCACAGCACAATTAGTGGGTACCTTCCAATTATTGAGCACTGCCCCGCGTCGGTAGCCACAGCCGCCCTCTTATAAGTGTGTGTGTCCCCTGAGTCAGAGCGCAGCCCGAAGAAGAGTCCCAGGAACAAGATGAGCCCGAGCAGGGCTGCAGCCAGGACTCCAGTCACCACATAGTGCTTCTTCATCTTCCTGTGGGAAGAGACAGGATCGTCAACCTTGCTGCTTCTGGGGCACATGGGAACTACGGAGCAGATGATCAGGCACAAGAGCAGTCTTTTCATCTGCCTTCTTTCATATCCACTGCTTCCCCCTCTACCCCCAGCAGCTGACAGTTCTGCACATGAAAGGACCGTTTGGGAAGGAGTGCCCAGGGGTGGTGTGAGCCTTCACAGTTACATCAGGGTCATGTTCTGTTTTGAAGTGAAGTAGAATATCAAGAGAGGAAGGGATGTTCAAGATGTCCGGCTACTGTTACCTTTCAGTGGCAACAAGACAACCAATTGCTCTTTGTGACTTTACACTCTGAGGATTTTAGATGCTTAGCAAGCATTTAAGTTACTGCTCTGCTTGGGAGGACAGGGGCCCAGTGTCAGACTGGATTTGACCTAGTTCCCAAATCAACTCAGCAATACCAGTCAGAGACTTTTTACCAGATTCCCTCCTCCAACACACGCTGGTAGGCCCTTTGCCTCCTTTGTAATGTGATGGAGTCAAGGACTGGATCCTGCCCACGCTCTGGAGGCAGGCTGGCTTTGCCAGGTGAGCAGCCATCTGTGTTGACCTCCTCCTCCCTACTTCATAGACACACGGTGAGTATATAAGTATATAGGACTTCTTCCCATCTTTCCAACCCTTGCTTTTTAGCAGGTTTCCATGAGTTCTGAGCTGTGGGCAGCAAACAGCTTCCTCCTCCCCTGAACCTCTCACAGAAAAGGTCTCCCAAATATTTCCTCACCCAGATTCATATCAAGACCTTTTCTGTGGAGCCTGCTGCTACCATTTCTCTATGCCCCTGCCACCTCTGTGCAGAACAACCGTTCTAACAACTCCAAAGCTTTTACCAGCTTCCCCTTTACCCATTACTGCCATCCTATTTGCAGAGTGATCTTCAGTGAGCGCCCCAGGGACTCCTGGAAGCCCTTTGGTAACAGCTCTGAAGTGTTACAGTACCAGCAATGAAAAGGCCCCAAACCAGCAACTATCACTTGGGTAAGAACCTATCTGATAGCAGGTAGGTAACCTCACACACCAAAAAAGCAGTGGATTCATAGGTGAGAAGGGAAATCCAAGGAGCAGAACATAATTGGTGTTAGTCATGACTCACATCATCTTCAGAGAAAAAAACTGTAAAAAAAAATTAACTTCATATAATCTGCTTTTAAATACCATGTCTGTGAAGGAGCCTCTGTCCAGAAGGTTGTCAATGACCAGTGCAAAACACATCTTAGTCATTAGCAAGCAACCTTGGCCAAAATTATTTGGCACACCCCAGTGTGAGCACAGCACCACCTCCTGTTCAGGGCCCTTGGCCAGAGCACCTTTCCAATGAGCCTGCCACTTCTAGAGGGTGATGGCCAGTGCCATGTCTCCATGTTTCCCAGTCCTGCACACAGCTGCTCTTGGGGTGCACAGGGTTACTGTTCATCTGTGAGCAAGCATAGGACACCAAGAAGCTCTCTGGCAAGCATATTCCAGATACACACCAGGATGAGTCAAGAGCTATTGAGGTGATGGAGAGTCACTGTCACCTTGTTGGGACTGACAATTCATGAAATAGAACTTGAACAGCTACTCTCTGACCCATTTCCTTTCCCATTACAGGATTGTTCCAGCAAAAAAGACCTAAATTCATCATATTGCCTTCAGGGACCAACCTCCCCCTATGTAGTGCAGCTTTGGGTTTTCACCGTGACTACTGTACTTGCACAATAGCCAAGATGCCCTTTACCTTACCAACGCATCTGCCAGCCTCAGAGACAAGCCAATCCATGGCACTGTGCGTGAAGGGTGGATCCACCAACCCCACCCTCTGTGGATGTTCAACAGCCCAAAGTAGAGCAAACTCCAGCAGTCAGAGCAGCACTTGGTGTCTTGCAGCAGCAGCACACGCAGGATTAGGGAGCAGTGAGTGTGCCAGCACTGAGCTAACTAGAGGAAACAGGCCAGGCCAGCCAAACCAAAAAATTTCTCAGAGGGAGGAGATTAGCAAGCACTGCCCCCTCAACCTCACCCCCACTCCTGTTATTTAAATTAGGAGATATATATTTGCTATCCAAGCCCTGTATCTGTGAGTCTCAGTCTAAGCACTAAAGATGTTCATCTCCAAGTAAAGCAGCTCAAACCAGGGTGTAAATCTACTGTATGTGCCGTTCTGTAAACAAATGTCAACCAAGGGCAGTAATAGGTAAATGGATGAAACCTCCTTCCAGGTTCTAGAACCTGATTTACACTCAACTACTTTTAAAAGAGACCAGTGGCGTGTTTGCAGAGCAATGACTGTGCAGGGAAACAGAGAAGCCATTATGTCCCCAACAATAGCTCACACACAGCCTCAGAGTTTAAAGACAGTTTTGTTTGTTGGCAGAGAGAGTTCAGCTTCAGCACTGGCAGTCTCCTCCAGGCTTCACAAGAAATGCCATGGGATCTTTTATCTGTGCCCCAGCTAGGCAGAAGGTACTTTGTTTCATCTGAAGGCTGCTCTATGCTGGGCTGTCCTGCAAGCCTGGAGTGACTCAAGCCCCGTAGCTGGTGTGTTAACCCATAGGCTCCTGGCTGGGGCTGTGCAGTTCTCCTCCACGACTACTTGCCTCACTGCTGGGCTTCTGTAAAGATTTACTGCCTTGTCAGGCAAGTTATTCTGAGAGCAAGAGAGGAGAAGGGGAAACCTCAGGTGGTACCTCTGCTCTCCTCTTTCACCTCCTCTCTGGATTCGGATGACACTCGTGAGCATCTCCTAGACCCATAAGAGCTCCATGCTGAGTGCCCAGCTGCCCAGTAAGTGCACATACCTTGAAAAGGGCCCTCCAGCCCACTTCATAAGCCTCAGGCGCAGCTCCCAGCCTGCCACCAGCCCCCGGGGAGAGGATAAGACACGCATCTGCCCCCAGGGTACGGACAAGCACACAGACTGCCATGAAGAAGAAATACTGATTGCTGGGCACTGCTCCTGCACTGCATTGTGGTACCACATTGCCCTCTGGGCTGGGCCTCTGGCACCCAAGTGGGGCCAGAAGAAGTGAATGCTCTTAATAAAAGTGCATCTGTGCAATCTGTCAGATTGATCCTGTTAGGGAAGAAGCAGATGTACGAGCTAAAGATCTGCAGCTTTCTCTTCTGCAACAGTACAGAGAGCAAACTCAGCTAAGAATAATCCTCTCTACCTTAACCGCCAGCTGAACTCCCATAAGCTCTGTCGTGGTTTAATCTCAGTCAGCAATTAAGCACCACGCAGCCGCTCGCTCACTCCCCCCGGTGGGATGGGGGAGAGAATCGGAAGGGTAAAAGTGAGAAAAACTCGTGGGTTGAGATAAAGACAGTTTAATAGGTAAAGCAAAAGCCACGCATGCAAGCAAAGCAAAACAAGGAATTCATTCACTCCTTCCCATGGGCAGGCAGGTGTTCAGCCATCTCCAGGAAAGCAGGGCTCCATCACGCGTAACGGTTACTTGGGAAGACAAATGCCATCACTCCAAACGTCCCCCCCTTCCTCCTTCTTCCCCCAGGTTTATATACTGAGCATGACGTCCCATGGTATGGAATATCCCTTTGGCCAGTTGGGGTCAGCTGTCCTGGCTGTGCCCCCTCCCAGCTTCTTGTGCACCTCCAGCCTTCTCAGTTGGTAGAGCATGGGAAGCTGAAAAGTCCTTGACTAGTGTAAACACTACCTAGCAACAACTAAAACATTGGTGTGTTATCAACATTGTTCTCACCCTAAATCCAAAACACAGCACTGTACCAGCTACTAGGAAGGAAATTAACTCTATCCCTGCCGAAACCAGGACAAGCTCCTTAACCTATTTCAGGCCTGACCCTAGAGGAAAGCATCCCTTGCACAGTCCTTACTGCCTTCCTAACTGTGGCACAGCAGAGAGCTGAACAAGCATTTTGTTTGCCGTACAGCAACTGGGAGATGGATCAGGAGCCTGTAGGTATCCCATTCTCTAACCCACCTCTTCATACTTGCCCTGTGCCGTGGGTAGGCACACTGCAGGAGCTGAGTACGAGATGATGTACAAGCTAAAGATCTGCAGCTTTCTCTTCTGCAACAGTACAGAGAGCAAACCCAGCTGAGAATAATCCTCTCTACCTTAACCACCAGCTGAACTCCCATAAGCTCTGTCGTGGTCTCACCAAGTCTTTTTGAGCCTCAGCTCTGAAGTTGAGTCCCCACTATGATTTATTGTTGGGAGTGGAGCAGCAGCTGGGGGCTGCCACCTGAGCTGGCTCCCCAGTTATTGTCTGCAGAGGCTGGCTTTAACCTCCAGATCTTCGCCAAATCTAGTTGTTAGGAGGCTTGGCTAGCACTTCAGTCACACAGCACTGCTTGGCAGCAGCAATAGGTCTCCAGGAGAGAGGGGCTATAAAACCATTAAAAGCAATATGATTATTTCTCACTGTTATAAAGGTCCAACAACCAGTCCTAGCCATGGAATTTAAAATGTAGCCTGACAGTCTGTCTTAATTTATATTAAGAGAGGGGGAGGACCAGCAAGTAGCAGAGTTATGCTTGTACAAGCAATCCCATTGAGCTGTATTCAGATGTGTCACAACATTCACAACATTATTTAAACATGACACTTTTTTAATTAAAAGAACCCCAGTGCAACAGGCTAGCTAGTGTCAGGCAGGGGATACAGGGTCTGATATCTCTGCCAAGAGGGCTGGGGCGCGCTGTAGAGATGAGGAACCTGCTATGGTCAGGGAAAGCGCCAGGAGAACTGAAAGAGGAGAAAGAGGAGATGTACCAGCCGGAAAGCAGGGGAGAGGGAACAGTGGGATACCACAGGATGACAAAGGAGTCCAGGTATGGTCAGGCACTGCCTTGTTCTTAAATGAAGTAGTGAAGAAAGCATCCACTGACAACGCCTAAAACTTTAACCACAAACTTTAACCAAACAGGCTTCTGCTTTAAACCCATCTTACAACAGCTGCATACCTCAGCACCCACTACTAAGAGTTCCTTGTACTCCCACCCCCAGCCCAGTAGCCAATACTTGGCCATTAGCTTTGAGACATTCGTCCTTACTTTCCCCAGGCAGCACACGTTATGCAAGGATAGACTGGACATCTTGAATCTTGTCACAGGACATAGGCTATGCTCTTCTGATAAAACTCAAAGTCTAATCCGTATCAGTAACATTGCCATATTTAAATAATTAATAACAAGCAGTTGAAATAACATTTTCACACTCTACTGTTGTGTAGAGTGAACTGTCAGTGACTTTTGAGCGAGAACGTATGTAAAGTGAACAGTCGCGAGATTGCCACAGGGCCCCCAGGAGTATAAGCCAACAGAGGCCTCGAAAGAGTGCAACCAGGTTGATAACAGAGGCCCAAGGGCTGTTCACACAAATGTCCCATTAGTGCTCCAGCATTGTGTGGCAACCTAACGAAGGTGCCTGCAACTGATCACACAGGTGGAGCCATCTCTAAAGTGTATATAAGACTGTAAGACAGCTACTTGCGCTGACACCATACTTCAGGATCCGGTATGCAGAATCGATCACTCTGACATCCTGTCTTGCTACAGGTGTAAGTACTGTTTGACAGGACAGTCTACTTATTCCCAAGGGCTGTTCCCAGCATCCTGCCAGGGGGCCAGGCCACATTCAGAGGTGAAGGAGGAGTTATATCCATCCTTGTGCTAATGGCTGGTGGGGGGGGTCCTTGTCAACCACCAGGCTGGTGCTGGTTCCCCACGCCATTATCTCCTTGCTTTCCTTTCTCACTGGGAGCTCACTGAGAGTTAGTGTAATGAAAAAAACAAATTATTCCTTCATCTGAGGGAAGCCCTTGCACTAAGAGTCTGTGTGCACACCCAATTAGCCAGAAGACAGTTTAAATCCTCAGGTATAACTGGGCTAACCACGCATTCCCTCAGTTGTCAGTAAGGACAACTGCCAGCAACTTCTGCTTTCATCTGCAGGAATATCCAAGGTCCTCAGTCTCTGAGCAGCTAATTAGCTGGGGTTATCTGCTCCAAGGGAGCTTGCACTGAAGAAAATTAGGACAAAACCAACACAGAAAGTACACTGGGACTGTCCATGGCTATTTCTGGTGAGTTCAGCTGTTCCTTCCACTTCCAAAGGGAGAAAAGTTTCCAAGATTTGTTTGCTGTTCTGAGTTATCCATTTTGTACTTTGCTTCTATACCTGTTTCCCAGCCGTTCTGTAAGATTTAGTATGACTCTGGCCAACTAAGTATGGTCTTTTCCCCTTTCCTACTAAAACTGGTTGTTATGCCTTCTAGGGCATGTTATGCCTTCTCACACACCAAATTGAAAGCTTAGGTTGCCCATTCCCCATCAACCACTCCTTCATTACACAATTTACAGTGCTTAGGTTCTGGCAGGCTAATATACGCCATAATTACTGAAAGGCCAGGGAATAAACACCTTACACAACAAGGACCGTGTAAAGATTACAAACATAGTTGTAACATCAAACCTGCTTCCTGCCTACCAGGTTAGAGCTCTCCAATTGCAATGGGGTCTTTGCATCTCACCACAAATACTCCCCAAGTAGCAGTGGGTGAGCTGGTGCAGGCTGTACATACCTTTACTCTTGGACTGAACTGGAATGGCTCAGATGCCATATTTCTACCCACTAAAAGGTTTGTGCTAGCCCAAATGGCAGAAAACTGTAACTTTGTTAGTGACATGTTCACACCTGCTGTTCTATGGCTTTGTTAGGAGAGACATAAACTTCCTGAGCACTCTCCTTTTGAGAACAGTCCCAAAAGAAAAGGGTTTGTTTCCCTGTGCCTTCTGT